ATCATTTTGAACATGATTTATATTATCTAAGTTAGAATTAGAAGTTATATCATACATGCATCCATAATTCATAGTTTTGAAGATAAATTTCATGATTTGATTGTGAAAAAGAGTTTGGAACAAATACATACATGCATGTAGTTTTAAGCTTCAATTTTGCGAATTCATGAGGATTTGGATTTGAGCTAAGGTTTGAAATTGACTACATATTCATGTTTTTTAAAGCATTTCCAAGTGTTTGGACAAGCCATGCAAGAGTTTTTGCTTTGGAATTGAGTTTGGTGCATTTTCTTCTTGTTTTGAAAACCCAGAATTTGGCCTCATTGCTTGAGCGATGAAGTCACCGCTCGAGCGCATAATGAGAGCTTCCAGTATTTTTGCAAACATTGCACTTCGCTCGAGTGACCAAGTGACTACTCAAGCGACCTCAGTTCATTTTGCACACGGCTTGAGCAACCATCAAGCCTAAATTTTGTACATCCAATACTTTTGCAAACCCTGCAGTCCGCTCGAGCGACCAACTATGCGCTCGAGCGAATTGTTCTATTTCAGGATATTTTGAAAAGTCGTATTCTATTCATATCTTCATTCTTATGTTTTTCCGAAAATTCCTAGGCATGGATTAAGCCTCATGATGGAATTAATAAGCTAGAAATGACATAAAGGAATTGATTAAGAAAAGAATGATTCGATTAAGCAATGTATGTGCTTGTGCTATGTTGGTTGATCCACAGAGACGTGACAACAATCTAATCATTGTGAATAATATATTAGTAAAGATATTTTTGTATATTCTATTTTCTAAATGTTTTCGATGTGATAAGCTTTTCTGAACTTATAATTTTGTGAATAAGAATGGGCTTCTATATGTTCGATTAACATGATATTTGTTATGAAATTAATTAAGTACAAATGAGTAAGATGGACCTAAGGTCGTTCTGTGTTTTTGATAAGATAGACGCAAGATCGTTCTGGTTATCTAATAAGTTTGAGATATCTGTTATGTTTTGACCAAATGGTCATTATACAGCTGTAATCGAATGATCATTCTGTTATGTTCCGTCAAGTTATGATCTGCTCTATTCTGTACATCTGTTATATGTTGGACCAAAGGTCGTTCTGTCAAGTGTTGGACCAGAGGTCGTTCTGCTACGTAAAGAATTTGATATGAGAATAATTATGTTAAGTAATGGAACTCATTTATGTAACCACTTTACTTTGATGTTATTTACTGGGCTCTATCTCACTTCGTTATATATATGTATATAGGTGAGCAACGGGATATCCAGCCTTAGGGACGTTTGAAGATTACCCGTGTTTTGTGAAGTCTGCCATGGAGTGCCTCTCGGATGAGGCTTTTGTCTTTTGTTTTTTTGTTGGTTGTGTTTGACCGTCTTTTGTTTACAAAAGCTTAAGTTTGTAAGACGATGAATCATACTCTTATATATAAGTTTTTGAATACCCAATCTGTAATGGATGTGTTTGTACAAATGTGAGTTATTAACGTATGAGATGTTTTTGTTTATCCCATATATGCACAACTCGTTGGATAATTTTATCATTCTGCCTATACTTCAAACCCCATATACTATGTTTTGGAATTCTGTTTGAGGTCGTAGGTAATCTCATGATTACTGGCCGGTTATGATCAAAACCTCTAAGGGTAGGTTCGAGTCGTGACAATGGCTCTGATAATTACGGTTACCAATTTTAGGACATGGAAAATTAGAAAATAATTTGAGGCATGGATGTGGTGTTTAACGAGTTTGTAATGTTCCAGGATAGACTAGATAGCAAGCCTAAAGAATCTGAAACGATTGAACTTGAGGAGATTCTGATAGTGATGTGTTGAAACCTAAAGACACTAATGTACAGTTGACACCATCCATTGAGATGCAAACTTCTTGTCCTCTTAGGAGGTCGACAAGAGAAAATAAACTTTTTTTGATAAATAAAATTTTATAGAAAACTAAGCATCAAGGAAATAGAAAAAAATACAAAGCGACACCCCTTGGGTAGGGGGCCCAAAACCAACCAAATCAAAACAAAATAAACTCAACCAATTACATCATTTAAAAAGTCTAAGAAGGTAAACAAGTTTGGATCCACCCGACTAGACACTCAACCACACACAACGTGGAGAAACCTTGTTTCCAACCAAGACACCTAACGGGCAACCTCCTAAAAAATCCGATGATTTCTCTCTAGCCAAATAAGCCACATTAAACACAAAGGAGCCAACGCCCAAGCCTTCCAATGTCTTTTCCCCACCTAACCCCCTGCCCAACTCCATAGGACCCCCAACACCCTTTCCGACTGAACCCATTGCACCCCAAAAGTACAAAAGATGAGAGCCCACAAACGGGAAGCCACTGGACAATGAACAAGCAGATAATCCACGGACTCCGCAGCCCCACGACACATACAACACCAATTTACTAGAACATGCCCCTATCGAACCAAATTATCAATCGTCAAAATGCTATCATAAGCCACCGTCCACACAAAGAAAACCATCTTAGGAGGAGCACCTATAACCCAAATCTAACGCCAAGGAAACTACCTCTCCACAACACCACACAAACTTCGGAAAAAAGATGAAACAGAGAAAGCACCCTTCGAACCTGGCATTATCTATTGTTAACTAATAATGGTGAACCAGAATCTTACGAGGAAGCTTTACAGGTTGAGAGAAGGGAAAAGTGGAAGCTCATAATGGACGAGGAGATGGAGTCCCTCGCGGCAAATCAGACTTGGGAACTGATACAATTGCCCAAAGGTAAATCTACACTGCAAATCCTACCTATTGGTCTTTAATTAAACAATCAAAACAATAAATTATTCACTATTTAGGCCATTAAATAGCATATGTTCTGAAAATCCAATAAGTTGTCCTACATGCCCAAAATTTCATCACCTCAATAAAAGCAATCAGTTTGTGAGACTTCAAACTTCCTCAGTTTTTGCAACCCTCTCAACTCTCATGCATCCAAAAACCTTCCTTTATTGAACCACTATCCACAGCCTTCAAGCATTCATATTACTGGATCCTGCACCATTAATGAAAACCAAGACACCCCATACAGTAGAGTTGACTAAATAAGGGGTTACAATTGGAGATCAAGTAGAACTATCCCTTGCGTAGTTCAAATGGTGCCGTCATGCATGAACAGCTGTAGTGAGGAGCAAACAAGGAGCAAACCAGTTCCATCGTTGTCAATCAAGTCGAGAGTTTTCCACTCTACCAGTGTGATTGTCTTGTGATTTCTCATTTCATCTTAAAGTTTGAAAAGAAATGAATGTATCATTCCAATCTTTTATAAACCAAGACTAAATTATTATTATTCAAGAACATATTTTTTAATCTACTGCTAATCCCTCGATTTCTTTTAAAAGCTCACAGGAATCTATGCCCATAAAAGGAGTAATAACAATGAACTTCTACTTAAAACTAACTCAATAACTTAGGGTCCACTTTATAGATCATCCTCCAAATATTTTGATGAAATGCCATATTTCCCATCAAGTCCAAAGAGAATATGTCCTAACTTGTAGCCTCAAACCAAGTTCTTATAGTACTGTTCATGTCACTTTGGCACCTTTAGCTAGGATCAAAATCACTAGTTGTGAATTCAAACAGATGGCTTAACCATTAGAGATGATTTTCCCCCATCTTCCGTTGGTATCACTTTTACCTCCTCAATTATGCATTATTTTCCCCCTTTTTTCCCTTACACAACCATTCATCCATTGAAATGGTCTATAATAAGCTGAGCTCGCTCCTCTCTCGATTGGGTCAATAGAGAGAGTTGGATCCCTAATCTATAACTCCATGATACAGAAAAAAGATTTCTAATTTAAGGAGCTCTAATCTAGTTGCAAAAGGGATATTAAAGGCTTTGAAAAGAGAGCAAAATAATGAACAAAAGCAAGGGCAGATCTTTTGGCCTATAAGACCAGGGAATAGAAAGAATCTTCTTCACAAGGAATACTTCACCAATTTTTGGGAAAACTTTAATATAAATCATTAGCCTCATTTACATATATATTGGTAACACTAGAAACTTAAAATCTTAGAAGCAACAGAAAACATGTAAAACTCCTGAAAATAACAGTGGTTGTACCATGAACAGTACAGCTATCGTAGCCTGGGAAAAGTATTGATAACGTACAATGGCAGTACTATTACAATACTACATCCCTTGATAATTGCTCTTATATGCATATAACAAAATAAGCTCTTACATCAAACTCCCCATGGTGGAACACTGCACAAGGCAAAGAGGCACATTCAAACAATCTTGCTTAGACGTCCTCAAAGCACATTCATATGCCAACAACCAAGTGACTCAACTACCATGTTTAAATGCACATAGATTCTAAATATCTAAAATAACAAACAAATGAAATAGACATTTGAAGGATGCTTGAGCACTTTCAATACTTGGGCAATTGTCTATGGCTAGCTGGGTGTCCCTCAGACCACCAAGCGCCGGCATTACCTCAACTCTTACAAAAGATTAATAGTTCACTTCAACAAATGACATCATAGGATCATCTTCATGTTCTCTCAACGAGATGCCCAATGTCAACTTCAAAACAAAGCCTCCTAATGCTAAACTGGCTAGTAAAAAAATAGAGAACAGAAGTAGTTACTGAAGTGTTGAACTAAGATAGGCTTAGAATGAAAAGAATGATCAAAAGATTCTAAACACATATATTGCTTGAAATAGAAGAATTTCTAATCATATCATGAAGTTTCTTGATACCACAAACAACCTTTGATATGAACTAGCCCTTCCCAAAGTCTGAGGTGCCAATTATGAAGGAGATGTATACTTGGCATTTTACTGTTAAAGCAAAATGTGAACGCAAGCTATATTTGGATATGTAAATTTTGACAATGGACAGCAAACTTGATTAGAGATTCTTATTAAACTATATTACTTTGTAATCATAATTGCTTCAAGAGAAACTACGAGCAAATATCAAGAACTCACCGTGCTACATATATGGACAGAGTTCACATACCCAGCATACTTGGAACCTGCATTGAAGAGAAAAGGAAATGAGAATATCCATACCACCTGATAAATTCTGCAAATGATTGCAACACCAATTTTACAGTCTATAAATGAAAAACATTTCCAGCCAAAAAAGTTAACCAGTAATACTACCAAAAAAATGCTTGACATCTGAACAAATAAATGTTTGCCAACAAAGAAGTAAATTTTCCAACAGAAAGAGAAAACTGTACAAAAAGAAAGCATGGAAGAAAACTACGCCATGAAAATAAACCTAACAGATTTCACAATCAAAATGAAATAGAAAGGCCAAGAGCTTGCATAACTTGAGCTTAACTAATGAGCCAGCCCATTTACATTAGATCTGGGATGAATAACTAGACACATAAGACAATCATTAAATCACCATTATGTTTGATGTGGCCTTCTTTGGATGTAATGCAATAGGATTGCTACTTTCCAGACTCAGAGGAAGAGCCTTTGTATATGCTCAAAAGCTTTTTTTGGCCATTTTGTATTGCTGGAGTTCTAGAAGAGTGATTTTGTAGATTCTTTGGACTTATAAGTTCTCTTAGGCCTCTTTTGTTCTCAAGTGGGTAGGCCTTTTCCACTTTTTTTTTGGGGGGGGGAGGTTACTCGTGTGTTAACATTGGCCTTTTTGTACTTGGGTTTCAGCATCTTTTATACAAATTTAATGAAATTTACAATACATACAAAAAAATACCATTTTCAAAAAAGAAAACTTCAAAGAGTCGAATATATTTTATTGTTAAATATTTGCCGTAATGATTTCTTTGTCCAACCATGTGCTTAGCAAAGAGGTAGAAGCATTTAGGGTGGCAGCAATCAGATTTTGTGGATACAGCTCTTCCTCGCTGCCTGTATGTGGTAAGGCTTGGTCAATTGCCCAGCCACCTCTTTAGCTCATCTCTTTTAATAAATTATGCCATTCTTGACTTTAGAAGTATAGCTCAATCTCTCTATTCATTAGTTCAGTGCTAAGATGTAGAACTGCTTCATAAATGGGTCAAAAGATCATCAATCTGGAATTCTCTTTTTTATATTGATTGCAATCCTTATTAGTGATTAATTATTCTATGTACTATGTAGGGAATGCACTATGGGGACTGAATAAAAGAAAATATGTGAGACTTGGGAGATGAAGATTCCATGTGCAAGGGTGGGTCTATTCACATTTAACAGAATTCTGCTTCAACCTAAAACTTATTGTCAGCTCTAACCTTGTCCAAGTAGACACAGTGCCAAAAAGAAAATAAGAACAAGAAACACAGACAATGTAATGTTGAGTAGCCATCAAACACAATCTTTACCTATCGACGCCTGATCACTGAGCCAAAGAAAAAATTAGAAGTGGAGAAATCTAACCTAAAAATGATAATGATAAAATGAGGATAACAATAATGATGTTACCAAATCAAACTAAGCCTTGTGTCCCGATCAAATGGGGGTAGCTACATGAATCGTTTTTCGCCATTTTTGATCTGTCAAGGACTATAAGCAAATGTACTTGATGTGACATGGCAAATGCTGTTACAATTATATCAAAGCATTTTTGCCTCACATAGTGTAAAAATATATGTATTATTGATTGATGAATATTGTTATTTTCTGTCTATTACAAATGGTTCCTTATATAGATGTAGGTGTAGTGGATGGTGGTAGTGGTGTAGTGGGTTAGGTTTAGTGGAGTAGGTGAGGTGGTAGTGGTGTAGTGGGTTAGGTTTAGTGGAGTAGGTGAGGTGGTAGTGGTGGTAGGTGATGGTAAATTCTAACAGCCCCCCGCAAACTCAAGGAGGATAGAAACTAACCAACTTGAGTTTGAAGACAGGAACAAAACAAGAAAATACATAAAAATAAAAGAGGATAGGAGACACTGTATGGTCGTGTCAGACCATTGGTGAAGACACTGGATGGCGGTGTCAGACCAATGTAGAAAACAGTTTATGGGGTCATGTCGGACCGTTGTAGAAGACAGTTTATGGGGTCATGTCGGACCGTTGTAGCAGACAATGTTGTGACAGTTGTTGGGACAGTTTACGGAGTCTTGCTGGACCCTTGTAGAAACTAACCGGAATCAATGTCGGGACAGTTTACAGAGTCTTGTCGGACCCTTAAAAAGTCGCACCCTCAAAAGGTGTGCCCAATCCATAAAAAGGCGTGCCAGATATGATGGCGAGGCACGTGAGTGCCTTGGCTGGCGCGCCCGTTTGTCGTCTGGCGTCAAGTGGCGCGCGATACGCGTGGCTGCCTCGGCTATAAGACAGGGTTGATGGCTGAGGCAAAAAACCTGCGAGAGATATTCTGAGAGAGATTTCTGAGAGAGATACTCTGTAATACTCTGTTTTCTGAGAGAGATTCCTGAGAGAGACACTCTGTAACACTCTGTTGTCCAGAAAATGGCTTCATCTTCCCGTGGTCTGCTCACTCTCTTTCCAGACCTCAACGAGTCAATTTTAAAAATATAAACTAAAAAATATGTTTGTTCAGACTTAAAATATTTATATTTATTTTTTATTATTTATGACAATGGGATCATACACATTATAATTAAAAAAAATTAATTAAAAAAATTAATTGGAAAAAAATTGAAAAAAAAAATTGTTAGTAAAATTTTAAAATTTATGTTTAAAAACCAACGTAAACTCATTTTTTTCATTTTTTGAGTTTACGTTTTATCATCAAATTTATAAACTAAGACAACTATTTATAAACAAAAAAAATTATCAAACAAGTTTTATGACAATTTTTAAAATTTTTACAAATATAAACTGAAAACAAAATAATTATCAAACAACTTTAAAAATATAACAACTAATTATTCTAAAATCACTTTAAAAAAATGACTCGAAAAAATCCGAACTCTTAATTGTAAGTAATTATTCTAAAATCACTTTAAAAAAATGACTCGAGAAAATCCGAACTCTTAATTGTAAGTAGTTATTTATTTATGTATATATATTTTTATTTGATGGTCTCTAATTACTGCACTACTGAAATAGCAAGCACTACTGAAAGTGAAAAGAGGGTTAATACAGCACCACCACTCCCTCTTGATCGGATTCCCCCCAAAAACAAGGGAGAGAGAGATGGAAAGCAAACCCTAGCGACTCTCTTCCTCCAATAGGTGCGGCTTCTCTTCAATTCGTACTGACAACACACACACACACACACACACACACACACACACACACACACACACACACATATATATATATCTGCATATCTGGACTATATATACTGTTATGTTTATTCTTTGCGTTTTAATGATTCTGATTCTTTGTATCCCTCAGATTTTTGTATTTTCAGGGTTTATTTTCCGTATTCCGTTATGATTAGATCGTTGTAGTGCCTTCGATGTTACTGGATTTGATCGATGGATGTGAGGTTTTGAAGGAGGATTTCCCCCCCTTTTTTTTCGTGTTGTTTTTGCGTGAGTTTTAGCTTTTACGCTCTCCTTTGATTCTTGATTGGTTGCTAAGAAAGCGCATGCAAGGAGGGGGGAAAAAGTCTTGTGTGTGTGTGTGTTTTTTTTTTGTCATGGTTCCAATCGTTGGGTCTCGTGGATCGGATTGATTCTACTTTCTATTAAAAATTAGGTCAAAATACAAATCAGGATAATACATATTAAAAATAAGGTGAAAAATTATAAACCTAGCGATTGTACTTACAATCCAACATACGATCCTACTGTGATCTTATAGGATTCTACACGATACCATACGATCCTACTTGCAATCCTACTATAATATCGATCCTATGATGATTTTTTTGACAATTTAGGATCGGAGGGTCGCATGATCCTACGATTCGGATCGCGATTAATCATGATTGTTTGCTCACACCATCCTCTGCTATAGAGAGATGATTATGTGTTGCACATTTAGAGGACATAATGATCAAAAAATTATATTCTTTTCTTTTTAGGGGTGGTTTGTTGTGAATTTTTTTTAATAATAATAAAATACACTAAAACAGAATGATCGTCACCCTCTGTCAATTTTTTGGTTTTTTGAGTCAAGATGATACTGTTAAAATTGATGTATAAAGAGAAATAGAGAATTGTATTATTAATTGATATTTGTAATTGTTGATTTATTGAATGTTACAATGATTCCTATATATAGAAGAGTAGGTGGTAGTAGGTGGTAGATGGAGTAGGTAAAGTGGAGGTGGTAGGTGGAGTATGGTTCCTTATATAGATGTAGGTGTAAGGTGAGGTGGTAGTGGTGTAGTGGGTTAGGTTTAGTGGAGTAGGTGAGGTGGTAGTGGTGGTAGGTGATGGTAAATTCTAACACATAGTGGTTTCTAATATCAAGAATAGTGGCATATTCACATCTCATTAGGATAGGGTGATATAAACTACACAGATTCAAATATTTTTTTACTACTGCATCCAATTTTCTTTTTTGATGATGATGTTACCAGGTAATATATCCGAAGCTTATCACAAAGTTGCTTAAATTTAAAATAAAAAATAAAAATTGTAGTAATTGATTGTAGACAACTAATGCGTTATTGCTCCTTTTCACGAAGATATATCAGAGATAATCTCAAGCCCCAAGGAGCTTTACACAACACTTAATATAACGTTCTTCAGACTTTCTAGTGTATACATGAACATTGTCATTGTGTTGTCCTTCGATGCTAACATAGAGCATCAATGCGTTGGCAGTTGTTTCCATATGTTCTCCAAATTTATTGCAAATACCCTCATTTTACCACCAATTTCCTTACATCTAACTCTATTCAATAACATAAAGACAAAAATCTCCATCACTTATACAAACATTTTTTCAACATTAGCGTTACAATAAATGAAATCAAGTGAAAACGAAAGACAAAGTGGCTAGACATCCGGGTGACGGTTGTTAAAGCGAGGGACATGCTGTGTCCGAACCATGTCTATTTGTCCAGCAACCTCTAAATGATAATTCTGTGTGAGGCAAGAGGCGGCTCCTTGATGGTGTAATCCCCGTTGGTTTGCTTAACTACAAGGTCACAGTTGCATAAGAGAGTTACTCCCATGTGGAACTCAGCCATGAGTCGAATATGAGGGCCTCATACTCCACCTCATTGTTGGAGGATCCAAACTCTAATTTGTAAGACAAATGGACTTTGATGGCATTGAGGGAAATCAAGACCATTTTGTTGGAGATAAGATTATATTGTTAAAGATATTAAAATATATGGAAATCCCATGATTTGTGTTCTTTCTTTTATCTTTTATATCTCTATTATCTCTCCATATTCAACCTTAATGCCTTACTACAAAATTTAACTTGGTATTGAAGCACTCCATATTGTTTTGTTCTCAAGGTGTTTTTCCCTCTTCCTTGAGTGGACCACTAGTTTGCTAATGTGGTAAGAAAACACTACGATTTTTACTTATTTCAGGGCTACCACTGTGTTTAGTAGCATTATTTTTGTGATATGCCGAGTATACGGCCCATTTGTTTTCATTATTCTCATTCACCCTGGGTAACCCTATAGGGTTGGTGCTGCTAATGTGGTTAGCAATTGTTTCTACTTTTTTTGTGTATTTCGGGCTACCGGTGTGTTCGATAGCATTCTTTGCAAGACACCACTTCTCCAACAATCTTTTTTGTTTTGTGATACGCCGTCCTTTCGGCCTTTCTATTTGTGGTGATTTGTTGTTTCTTTGGCCTTGTCGCTTTCTCTCTCTTGGTTAGTTTCTGTTGCCACCATCATGACTGATTTCATGCACATTTCTTTATTGCAAGATGTTAATTCGTTGCCTATGTTCTCTGCTGAAGTAGTCATTGAAGGGAGTTTCTACAATTGTTGTCATTTTTCGGCAACGTCATTGTAGTTGTTTATCATCCTAATTTTTTAGTTCAAGTTGGACACTTCACTTCAACCGTTCTGTGTTCCAACTTGAGGGGAAGTTTTGGAAATAAGATTATATCGTTAAAGATACCAAAAGATATGGAAGATATTAGAATATATGGAGATCCCATGATTGATGTTTATCATGATTTTTTGTATATTTGATTTCTTTCAATCCCTCAATTGAAAGGATTTGATTGTATCTCCCACTCTATATATAGGGCATATCATGTAAACAAGACTATTAAGTTGAGTAAATGAAAGATGTAGCCCATAGCACTTTGTGTGTGTGGATGTAGGCCAAGATTGGCCAAACCACATTAAACCTTTGTGTTCTTTCTTTTCTATTATCTCTCCATATTCAACCTTATTGTCTTGTTACAAAAGTTACTCATTTTGACTTAACCCACCTTGCGTAGTGGCAAGCCGTCAAAGCTAAGACTCCTCCTTCTGTTCTTACTTTAGTGGCCTGGAATTCATCTCCCCGGAGTTTGGCTTGAGTTCCCCGTTGGGGTAAGTGACCTAGGAAATCAACTAGGGCTTGGCTCTTGATAGCCTTAGGCGCATTGCAATTTGCAAGTGATATCATATTCCACCAAAGAGAGTTGCCACCGAGTGAGCTGCCAGAGAGAATAGTCAGTGATCCCAACTAAGGGAGTGAGTGCATATGGGAGAGATAAGCAAGCCACAGGTTGGGCTAGGTTGCTGCCAAGTAAGAGTGACTGAGTAGAGACATGCTCAAGGTCAAGTGATGCTCCTAATCGCTCCTCGACACATCCTATGGGAATGAGGTATGAAAAAACCATGGTCCAGTGGAGGCTCATCCAAACAAGACGTGGTGCTATATTGAGCCATGGTGTTGTCAAGTAGGTTATGGCTGAGCGGGTAAGCTTAGCTCTGCAGCATGGTGTAGCAACCATGCATTGGTTATGCATACTTGACTCATTCACTTTGGTGTTTTGGCCTAATAGAGTGGCAGTCACACTAGTGAGCTGAGCAGCCATACTTGGTGTATATGCCCCAGCTAGGCTAGACATACAACCCCAATTAGTCTGATCAGGACATTGTGGTGCCTCAGGTGTCTACCACATGGAAACGATGGAGGTGATGACATAGGACCCGTGGGGCTCACCACGTATCAGTCGTGATATAGATACCCACACCCAGCAACAGTTATGCAAACATATCAATGAATTTTAATTTCATTACCACATTTAAGGACATAAGCATTAGATTTTCACCCAATCACATCAGAACCCAGCATTAAGCAAGCAAACATACAGTAATGCCTATTACTTACTCTTCTTTAAGCCTGCAGGCTTTGCCGCCAAAAGGGCATTCACAAATGCACCAATGTTTTCACGTAACGCCTCCTCCGAATAACTCACCTGCAGTTGATGATTAGTTCCATGGGCTTACAAGGGGGGTGGGGAGTAAAGCCCCATAAACGCAAATCATGCATTCATAACTTGCGTTATATAACAGAAGAAATCAACTGTACCTTCCCAATCCCAACATGCACTACTGCAGCTTTGTCTTTCTTATTAAACTTCACAAGCCGTTTTGCTTCTCTCACTGCCTTAGCGACATCATCAGTCACAGTACCAGCCTATAAAATGTTTTGAATTAAATAACGATGAGAACATGCCCACTGAAATATCTCCAACTTTAGCTTCCCAAAAAAGGAAAGGGGGAAAAAATAAATTAATTAAAAAGAGCAGCAGCAAGAGCAACAATATTTCACACTCACTTTAGTACTAGGCATCCGACTTTTAAGGATGTTCCCCAGCTGCAAAATAGAAAGCATAACCTTTCATACCCAGATACTAACTTCTTTAATACCTGAGTTTGAATTCAAATAAAACAAACCTTTTGAAGACGTGGAACAAATTGATGAGTTGTAATACATATATCAAAATGAGCCTTAACATTGCCTGCACATGTTTGAGGAAATCTTAATGCTGAATCTCAAAAGTTCATTCCAGTTCCTATAAAACATCAATTAAATTGTAGTAACATTGTAAAAAATGACAAGTGACATCCAAATAGATGGAAATTCATTTTTAATCTGCATGAAGGACAATAACATCAGTGCCATACCGATAATGCACATTGTTGATTAATGAAGACAACCAACAAACATTTAGCAGTAAGCATAAGGAACATGCAAGCCCATTGATGGGATGAAAAAGAGGGAATGATAAAGAAACATGGGGGCTTAAGTTTTTGGATGCTATTAATTGCTCAGCATTGGTTTTGGAGTTGTTTCAGGGATAGTGCATTAAGGCCACCACAAAGAAATGCACCATAGTAAAGATACTCAGTAAGCCGATTTTGGATAACTATGAAGCAAAGAAATAAGAATATCTTCATAATGTTAAAATCTTGATCATCAAGTTTGAAAACACGTCACTGACAAACCAAGTTTGGGAGGACAAAAGGAATGGTTGGACAATCACTTGCTCTTTTTATGGTATCTCGGTCATCTCTCAAGTAGCCACTTTATACATTGCTTTGCATGTAAACCTTGGGCAGGCTTCATTTGTCGTTTTAATTAAATTTCACCTAAGGAAATAAATATTTTCATAGCCCTAATCAATCACGATGATGTAGCACACAGATTTATCAATTACCATTCTTGATTTCCTCAACGAGTTCAACACCGCCAACAACATTAGCACCTGCAGCTCTGGCTTCATCTGCGGCAGATCCATCAGCAAATACAGCAATCTTAGCAGCCTGAGATATAAAAATATCCGTCAGATAAATCCATGCAAACTAGACTGCAGTACTCCAAAATTCTGCCACCATCCACTATCTAAGTGAAGATTGTACCTTTCCAGTACCATGAGGCAAAGTCGCAATACCATCAAGCTTCTGCACTTCAATTCAGATGGAAGTTAACTAAATATCTTGAAAAAAAATGATTGAGATGCCAAACATATAATGCCTCAGAAAGCACCAGAGACAAACAAGAAAAGATGATGAATACTGTTCATGTCTTCTATTTAAGAACCCAAAATGGCATCCACTTTTCTTTTCAATCCCCCTCCCCCCCCCCAAAAAAAAAAGAAGAAGACAATCTCTCAAGGAGGTGGAGAATATTAAACAGTGTGCAAACTTTTCACCAAGATAGAACCTGTGCAGGAACAAGAAAGCCATTAAAAAGGAAAATATATCTACATATATTTACTGGGGCAAGATTAATGCGAAGTGGTACTGCATGAGCACAGGGGCGGGGGCAGTGTGAATTAACTTCTACATTCTATAGCGGGGCTAAGGAACTTTGGACAATAGTGTTGTTTTGAAACTAGTTACCAATTCTTTTCTCCTTCTTTTTTTTGGGTACAAAGAAGGGGGTCGAGGTACAAACCTAAACCATGATGCTTCCAGAGATTCCCCATCCAACACCACTTTTGATGACTGGATTAGCGCCTGAACTTCCCTATCAGCATAAACTGCATCTCTAGCAAGCTTATCCACACACCCATTGTGACACCCCAAAGAATGCCACGTACCATATCCTTGAATGTCTTAAGTCAAGTCAATTATCTCACTATACAGAATATTTGAAGTAAAGTATAGAAGTGAGTAGTTGAAAAGACTTGAGGAAGAGTGCCTAAGAAGAAGGGATTTAAGGATACTTGTGATTGATGAAAAACCTAAGACAATTTAGAAATAGAACCTTGGTGTGGGAATTGGTAAGTAACATGGAGTTAAGGGATGGATTTTGATATGGATGTTGAATGCTTAGATCACCTAAGAATCCTTAATTGAGGAGCTTAAAGATCTTAGACTAATATGCTTGTTATTTTAATGCTATATTATTTTGCTAATCAGGATTAGTGAGCCTTATTCAAGATTAATTACAGCAATGCTATGCACACAGAGACCAAACACAGAAATTGTTCCACCGGACGACCGCCCGAATGACCCAAAGACACCATGACAACCGCGTCAACACCATGACAGTCGCGGTCGACAAGCTCTGGCCAGTCATCCGGGCAAACGACCGGATGCATAGTTTCTGTGTTTGGATCTGTATTTGGTCATCTGTGCGCTTAGACTTTTTGGATTAATTAAGTTAAGCAAGATTAAATTTAACTTTGATTAATTAGAGACTAACCTTGATTATAACTAAAATCGATTAATTAAATTAATGATGGAGATTAAGGAATTAATGAAGCAAGCACATAAGTGATGTATAAATACACCACCCTTTTTGTCCCATGCCTTACTTGTCTTCCAACCCTTTTGTCTCACCTTGCTAGATAAAACCAAAACAAGAGAAAAATCTGTAGAAGCAAGAATAAGAGAAGGAATGAGAAGATTAGAGAAGAGTTGAGCGGATTTGTGTTCTAGGAAGAGAAGAAGAAAAGAGAAAGGAACGAGAAAAGAAGATGAGTCAAAGAGGTTCAAAGCCTTCAACCAAGAAATTAAGAGAAATTCATCAAAGGGTAAAAAATCTAGTCCTCTACCTCAAGTTATTGTTGTAACCTAGCAAGAAAATCATTTAGACTAAGTTTTGAAGAGATTGAAATGAAAGAAATAGAGAACTTGGAAAAGAAAAGGGATTGAAGAATTGGTTAGAAAAACTAAGATTGCGTTTGGTAGAGTTTTAGAATTATGATTTGAGGATAGAGTTGTATTTTGAGTTTGTGAGTTTTGAAATTATGATTTGAATGTGGAAAATTTGCTAGGTTATGAGTTTTGAAAAAAGTTTTGAATTGAGTTTGAAATAATTGATGTGACATATGATATTTGATTCAAAAAATTACAACTCATAACCAAACACACAGCCTACAATTCTATTCAAAGCTCATAAAAAAATTTTAAAAATTTGGAAAATATTTTTTATTTAATATATAAAAAATATCATGTGCCAATTGCCATAAAAAATAAAATAAAATAAAATGCATTGTTCTGGTCAACCGGCCGTACGTCCAGGAGGACGACCAGGTAGGCCAAATTTCAAAATTCAAATCCTGCCTGAAACGAGTTTTCAAAAGTGGTGCGGAATTAATTTTTGAAAGTTGTAACCAAACATCATACTCAAATATGGGTGTGGAGTCATGATTTGAACTCCACACCAAACACAACCTAAGTTTTGATTAGGCTTAACTTAGAATCCATCTCACGTTGATGTTTACCTATGAAACACACATCACCTATTCATGATTTGAAGTCTTGAACATTGTTTTTGAAGGTTAGAAATGAAGAAAAAAAATGAGGAAGGATAGAACAAAATGGAAAAGAACTAGGTAGTCATAAATCTTATTGTTTGATCTTGTATTTGATGTTCTTGATTTAAAAGAAGCTTTGTTGTCATACTTTCTTATGATTTTTAAGAATTTTTGCAAGCTTAAATTCATACTATAGAACCTTGAAAAGAAACGGACAAAGATAAGAAAAAAGTGAGATTTTTGAACTCAACTTCCTGCACATGCGGCACCCATACCCGCACGTCCGGCCAACCCTCTCAGAAAGTTATTTTTCTACTGCAAAAACCACACATGCAGCACTGATCCCCGCACTTGTGGCACCTCTACTTCAACCCAACTTCAAATGGGCATATCTCTCTCATCCAGACTAGGTTTTAAACGATTCTTGAGTCTAAATTCAAGCCCCGGAAGTCTAGTTTCCAATGGTGGTGGTCTCACATCCAAATTTCATGTATACAAAGAGATAAGTTTAAATTAGTAAAGGCTGCTCACTTTCTTCTTTACCATTTCATGCTAATTCCTCTCCTAAATTAGTTCTCTTTCATTTCTTCCTATTTCCTTAAACCTTAAACATCTAAACATGATCTTTTTCAATGCAAAGCATATGGAATTGTTGTGGAATACTTTGGGTCCTTCAACGTATGTCTTTGGCACATTTCAATATTCATGAAACCTTGATTACCTAGGATGCTTCTAGGCATGCATTTGACACTTGTTGAGACTTGATTTAGACTTCAAATAAGTTCAGAAAGACCTTGAACAATCTAAGGAAATAACTAAGAAGTATTAAGATAAGTTTAGGCACTTGAATTGAAGTAGGAGCTTGTAAGTTGAATTGTGTTCAATGTATTGTTCATGTTTTTTGTAGGTCAAGCATTTGGAGGAAGAAAACACCCTTAGTTCAAGAGCCATTTGTGAGTAATAGCAAAGTTATGTTTGTTAAGCTATGATTTGAAATGCAAAACCTATGCTATGTTTATGAAATGTATGCTAACGTTTTATCATGAATGAACATCATATACTCTTGTATCATGTATTAAAATGACATTCTTGGATCATATCCCAAAATTGGGGGATTATACCAATCAAGTCTTGATGGCTGAGCTCACTTTGCCGCCTTCAGGTGGGACATTTAGCTGGTATCCGGGCCAGTTAGACACCTTGTAATCCTTGATATGTTCATCATTATGTAAATGTTTGCAAAAGCCAAGTTATGCAATGTCTTGCTCAAGTTAAAGCTATGTTTTGATGTCATATTTAAAAGCTTGTCAGTGTTCATTCATTTACCACTTTCCTATATTACTATTCACTAGGTAATAGCTCACCCCTCTTATATATATATATATATATATATATGTAGGTGATGAAGAGCTCGATTATGAAAAGAAGTTTAATTAGAAGCTGGCCTTGTATGCTTGTGCTAGATTTGTAAAGCTTTGACATAAGTGTTGTATTTTACTTTGTTGTTTATATCATGTAATAATGTAATATAATTATATAACCATCCAAGAGGAATGTATTCTTTCATTTCATATAGTTATGCACTACTCTGAATCCATGATTCAAATGGACTCAATATAAGCAAATAATGACTTCCGCACTTAAAAATAGAAAATTTGTCCCAATTATCCTAAGAGTCTAACTTGTTTTGAAAGTTAGGCCTTCGGTAGTCCGCAACTACTAGCCGATCACTGCATATCCTGTATGGGCCGGGATGGAGTCGTGACACCCATACCCTTCATGAGAGGCCATTGGTTACTGGATCAACGAGATAGCATCCTGCAAATCAGTTTCAACAACTACGAAGCAATTCCTTTCCTTTCCTGACACTAAGCATAAATAGGACACAGAGATATTACAGTCCCGTATATTCTGAGCATCCATCAAGTATTTATTCCTCAATACTCAAGCGCATAGGGCCTCATTATCCTGAGTAAGCCGCCAGCCCAACTTCATCAAGAGAGCAATATTCAACTTGTCCATTTGCCGAATCCCTAAACCCCCATACTCCTTATGAGCTATCAATAGAAACACATAAAACCTTATGGTTCTTTGTTATTTGCATTAAATAGGCTAGGATAGTGGATGTAACTGGCTATACTAAAGTGGCTCTTCAAGCCGGGACACTTTCCAACCAGACAGTCTAGCCCTCACTCTATCCAAGACATATTGATGCCACCTTTGTGACTCGAGAGTGGAGTAGAGGTCTTCCCAAGTACTTCCCCAGCTTGCTCGTGGTGCCTATGGATCCTTAGGCTTAACATCTGTTCTTTATTCGAGGAACATTAGGTGATACATACCTATGACATTTCTCGAGGATGATTTGCTGCCCAACAACTCCACAAAACCACTCCATAGTTTCAGCCATAAACTCAGCTTGAGTCTTTGATGCCTCTCCAAATCAAACAAGTCATTAGCAAAGATGACAAGCAAAATTGATGGGCCTCCCTTGGTCAAACTGATGATGGGCATACAACTCCTATCTCTAACTTTAGCCTCAATGGTGCCCAACACCTCCATGCAGAACACAAAAATGTATGGGGATAACTGATCCCACTGCCACAGACTCCGATCCGAGCTCCCCATTCCAAATCAATGGCATTTCTGTTGACATTACGGAGTCCTAAGTAGCATAGACATAGACGCGCGACATGA